ATGATGCCATGAGTGGTACAGCGATGGTCTTAGAGCTTTAGATGCACACAGCTCAAAGAGCAGAGTGTGAACCATTGGAGACTTTCACTTGGTATTGTATGCAGCTTAATGGCAACCTGGGCTTTAGCCTCATCATTGGGGCAACCATGGAATAACCACGAATAGCCGAAACCTTAGTTCATTTGCCTCCGCACCAAGGTCGAAGCTGCGACATGGCAGGAGGCCTTGTCGCAATGCTTGCTGGATTGCAGTTCAAGGGAAGCGAGAGCACTTGAGAGCACACTGCAATCTGCACCTGGTCCTGGTCCCGGATCGCCCGTGGAGGTGGAACGACGACTCTTGGTGCTGCAGAACACGTTTTGGCCTCTTTGCTCCCTTCAACATCCCCGGCACTCAGCCAGTTCGCTTCTCTGTCAGGCCTCGATCAGCCATGGCACAGGTCTTTGCGGAGGCGATCTCCGTTCGGCATTTCTTTGTGCATGCAGCGACTCCGAACGGGGCTCAACAAGCGTCGGGACCCGGCCACTTCAGGCTTGGAGACTTCTCTCCTGTAGACGACGCTACGCTGCCTAAAATAGAAAAAGCGGTGAACAAACATTTCATCCAGTGCCAGAGCTTGCCTGCGTCAAACGATGAACATGACGTTGCACACTATCAATAGGTTAGGTGCCAGGGCCATTGGCTCAACGGGGGAAGAATTACTATAATTACCATGTCCACAACGATTCCTTCCTCGAACTTTCAAGTTTAAAACATATCATTATTATCATTCTAACACCATGCCAAGCATCCCAATAAACATCCCGCAGTCTTTCTACAAGAGCACAAGCAACACAAATTACAGGATACAACTTGCGTTCCTGAGTAGCCCTGCCAAACAGTCAATAAGTATCCAACAAGGATCCCTTTCCACCGCATACGTCTATATCGGATGTTTTTGCCCCATGTGTTACGCAGATTTGGATGTCGATTTGTCAGATCTGTGGCTTTCTTGCATTCCGATCAGAAAATCCTGCTCATGAGATCTCATGAGCTGTAGTCTTGAGGTGTGGAATGGACCAGCCGCAGGTTCGCGCAGGCTTCATGCAGGCCTTTTTTTGGTATGTTTTTCTTTCCTTGTGAAGCGTGGCAGGCACGGACCAACACTAATAGCAGGACGAGCGTTCTTCCTTTCTGCAGGCGCGTCCAGCTTCAAGTTCGCTGGGCCAAAATCAAGGTGTGATGGTGCGTGAGCATTTCTGGGTGTTTGTGAGCCTCAGAATGTCGCAAAAACACGACAGACTGTGTGAGAGTCAATCAGATCAGGCGCTGAAGAGCGTTCGATGCTCAGTCCCATTTAGATGAAGATACGCAAAACCATGAACCCATGCACACTGCTAGATTGCTAGGAGTTCAAGCTCGAGCGAAACAAGCAGAAGAATCACCGGGAGGCCAGTGAAGGGGCCCTCTTTTTTGGTTGTCTCATGTTATTTGATGTTGAGAGTTGAGAGAGACATGCAATTGACCATGAACATTCTTGTCTGGAAGGCATTTGAGACTCCAACAGACCCGATTCTGCAGTCACAAATGTACACGCCGGAGGCCTGCTGCACGTGTTTCGTTTTGCTTTTTCTTTTTCACTCAACATTCATTCAATTCACAAGCCGCGTCCGTCACTTGCCATTGACTTAAGCAGAAGACACAGACTGAGGCCTTGAAGACAAAGAACTTGACCAAGTTCTGTAATCATCTTGTCGCCCAGACCTTACCAAGTACGCGTCCTCTATGGGTCCAAACCACACCCAGCTCCGATCTAGGACCAGCACCGTGTGACAGTCCTGACCGGTCAATCCTGACAGCCGCTCAGGCCTTTGGCCTCCAAGTCCCGGAGTTGTCTCGGCCTGGGACGAACTGATGTTCGTTGGATTCCGTTGCATCGTTTTTTCCATTCCGAAAGCGGTTGAGGATGGACAGATATGCTGCAAGGGCTGAAGAGTTGGCGGCGCAGTTGACCGCTAGTCAGTTGGATGCTTAAACAGTTGGAGAATGGAAGGAGACATGAAGAGACATCCTGGACATCATCCTTTTCATTCTTTTTCGATGTCTTTGCCTTTTCCAACATACAACTGATCTGGTATTCAATGGAACTGGCATGAAATGGAACCTTCGTCTGAAGGTTCACTATTATCCTCAACGCTTTTGCTCGTGCTTCTCATCGACATGATGCGGTCCCTGTGCAGCAAGTTCGGAAACATGCAACATTTTGCAATGTTTGTAGGAGCTGAGGAGCCAACTTGTATATAAGGCAGCAGCTGAAGCTAACTCGGCACAAACACATCAAACACTTACTAGAACGGATAACAGCCAGCAAATCCTTTCAGCGGCCGCTGCAGTTCAAGCGGCAGTTTCTTTCACGTTTAGATTCTGGTGATATGTTGCCCAGATGCTAAAGACCTTTAGCAAGCGGATGCTACCCAAGCTGCATATGTCTTTACCTCAGATCAGACTTCAAGGGGTGCTGCTGACATTTCAGCTGCACAAGTGAGGTTCCTGCCCATCGATTTTTCGCAGCTTTGCAATGCCTACGCGAAACTACGAGAGCATGACGAGGCAAGTGATTTGTGAGATGAAGTGAGCATGACACGCGTAGTCCAGATGAAGTAGATCTAGTATGAGAGCCGATCGTGTCTTGGACACTACACAGCATCATCTTTCACACCTTCCCCCTTCCACAGGTACTCTTCAAAAGGCTTGCATTGGAAATGCCGATCGCCTTGAGTCACCTTAAGTGTCGATGTTTGTGGGACACCTGGCGTTCATGGGATGTCTGAGGCCGCACAAACTGCCTCATTTTGAAGGGATTCACTTGTCCTGTGTGGCACTGCCTCGCTTTGGCTCTGTTCTTTTTCCTCAACAGATTCACTACAGAAACCTCATGAAACCTCTGTGGTTTCTGACCGACAAAAAAGGTCGCGAATGCTTACGCCCGGCTGGCGATCCGGGACGACCTCCTCTTTGATGACATCGCTGACGAGGCCTGCGGAAGTGACCAATGTGTTGAATGTGTGGCTGCTCGGAAAATGGCCGGCTTTCTGTTTTGCTACAAGAAAAGACCCCAGGGAAGAATTGAACCGATGACCGCACATGAAAGGAAGTGTCAGGACACGACAACATGAAAACGTCGGAGCAAATAGAGATAATAAAAGCAAGCGAACAAGGCAAGTGAAAGGACATGCAACGGACATGAGAAGACGGCGCCAAAATGATTGTCACGCCGTCGAATCCGCTTTTGAACATCAAACGAACATAAAATATTTTGACAGCACAGCACAGCCGCGAAATGTAGATTCATGTTTGGACAACGGCAAGAAGACGAGATGAAAAAGAATAACAACAAATGAGGAAGTGCACATGAAATGGAAGGAGTGAGGAAGTGACAAGAGATTTCAGCGACAAATAAGTGTACCGTACCTGTGCAAGGGGCTGAAACTGTGCTGGGGGACAAACAAAGATCTATTGATGTCCACCATTGGTGTTCCACATTGTGGATTGATAATGTGGATTCTATTGCCATGGAAGAAGGTAAAACTAATCCTCCTCCTCGGCCAGACCTCACAACTGAAATTGACTCAACATCACCCCCAAAGAGACTTCTTCAACGTCCATTAGCTTACCATCTCACAAGGTCTCAAAGTGTCAAAGACTGAGACCTCAAACGCATAGTCTACCGCCAGCACAGGTCATACGTCGACCTCAAGACTTGAGCCATGTAGGGGGAACTCAGCACATTGAGTGTGTGCAGATGATAAGTTGAACAGTTGAACAGTTGTCAGAGTGCACAACAGAAAGGATGCAGTTGAAGCATCGTACTGGTAGCCACATTTTTTGCCGTTGATGGGCTTGCTTCAGAGCAGGTCGCACTGCTCAACATTGCAAATGGATTCTCTCGCTTCAAGATTCGTTAATGTCTCAGAGTGCAAAGGATATATATTATAAGTATTCCAGAATGTCCGTGACAACTGGCCAAGGTCACAAGCGCTTGTGGCCAATAATCGGCGAATGGTGACTTAGCTTGAGTCTAGGTTTTCCATTTATCTAAAAGAATACCCAAATACATCTGGAGTTTCAGGCAACATGTTGTGTTTGATGTACAGCTGTCCTCCTCAAAGGCTTCTTCAATCGCATCTTGACCTTCAAGCCCAGGTGACCTTCCTGTTTCAAAGACTCTGCTGTCTCTCATGTTACATCACAATACTTGTAGTGAGTGAGAGAAAACAACAGAAACACCAGCCGCAATGGTTGCAAGAACAAGTATACATCCGTGATGACAACACCAACAACTGCAAACAGCTAGGTTTGGTCTCCGTTTCTAAGTGGCTTAGCTATTTCAACGCCTGAAAATGAACTCAAGGTAGGTTTGGACAAGCGAGACATTCCGACAGGATGTGGCAACTGCTTTCAACGCCTTCAGTGCCGTTGATTTCAAACAAACGGAGAGCAGAGCAGAGTCGAGCCATTTTCTGCCTATACAGTGGTTTCAGAGTAGATGGCTCAATCCCCCCAAACGTGGTGGTGTTTTTCAGGACCCCCACATAAAAGTAATCTGTTGGTTTGTGCCATCTATATATATGCTCCGAAATCACTGTAGTAGTAGCTTCTTGCTACTAGTAGCGATGCGCTTGTTACTAGTAACGATACCCTTGTTACTACTGTAGATAGATTTTGTAAGATTCTTGCAGGAGCTTTTCCGGACTTTGCTGGTAAGCCTTTCACAGGCGGGATGAACAGCTGTGAGCTGGAGAGAGCCAGGATCAGGGCTGAGCCGAAGTACTTCAGGAACCGTTGCTGTCCCAAGCAAGCCCAACAACGTTGTGCTCGAAACTGAATGACAGGATGCAGAGCGATCTGAGACTTCAGAAACAAGCTTGTCGCCAACTGTGTCAAGTGCCAAGGTCTTACTTTCAACTCCTTGGATGCTCAGCTTGCACGATGCAGATGAATTCAGCAGTCCTGTTTTGAAACTCCTACAGGTTCAAGCTTTTGCCTGGAGTATGAAGGGACATGAAGGGTTTGCTCTGTCGTGTTCCGATGCGGAATCCTTGTAGTATCTGAGGCACGGCTCACATGGCCGGCAAAATCTGACGTCGAGGTGGGCTCTGGATGTTGAAATAGGGAAGTCAAGCAGAGTTTTTCCAGGCCAATGCAGCCTTGGATGTCCTTGTGGAGAAAGTCACATCACAGCAAGCATCTCAGAAGTTGAAGCGCCACAACGCACCCCCGCAACAGAATCTAAGTGAAGAAAGGTGTTTGTGACCCAGGTTGCCAGCCCTTGAACCTGTGGGCTTGACGCAGTTGCTCCACGCTTGTTCCAGGAAAACCGGGTCGCACGATGTTGGTGTTTGGACCTGCTTGATTTGTTCGCTTCATGCAAGGTGCATGCGACACACTGCTTGCGCAGATGCATGCACTGCTTGCGCAGAGGTTGAGACAGTTGCAGTCCAAGAATGCTTTGGTGGAGGCGTATTTGAACGATTGCACATGACCCACAGAAGAAGCTGTCGCTCAGGGCATCTTGGAACAAGCAGGGCAACAGATCTCCAAATTTCCAGCACAGTAGGATCCCTAGACGCTAGACATTCTTGATCCTTTTTGTTAACCGATTTGATTGGTAGACTAGTAAAAGAAGCCAATTTCAACTTGACTCCAGTGGTGTGGTGAATCTCCAGGTCATTGAGCCTACTGGTAAATGCCTGCGCACGACTGCAGAAGAAAGATGCCGGAGACTTGGCCATCCGAACATGATAGCACTGGCCCACACCACCTTTGAGGTTCCATTGCTCACGAAGGTGGCAAAGTGTGCAGCGCTGGAGTCCGAGAGATACAACTTTCAAGAATCCTTGCTTTCTCAGTTCTTCAAGCACTTGAAAGAGTTGGACATTTTCTGGATAGGCCACTGCTTCCGGAATTCACGCCACAGGCCATGAAGTCTTATTGAAGAAGTAGTAACAAGAAGCTACTAGGAACAAGTGCATGACTTCAAGTAACAAGTGCCTTACCAGTAGTAACAAGAAGCTACTAGGAACAAGTGCATCGCTAACAAGTGCCTTACTAGTAGTAACAAGAAGCTACTAGGAACAAGTGCATCGCATCTAGTAACAAGTGCCTTACTAGTAGTAACAAGAAGCTACTAGGAACAAGTGCATCACTTCTAGTA